CTTCAGTATTTTTATTGATTCAAAACATATAAAAATCCATACATATCCCCCCCCCGTCAAATCTTTTCCTAGTGAACTGATATGCAAACATGCTCTACTAGCTCAGCTGTGGTGTTTCACACCACCCACACCTCAGTGGCCCCTTTTTCTGGCTGTATTTGTAGTCTGGGCAGTGGGTCTTGTTGGCTTGCTTTTTTCTCCTCCTTCCCCTTTCATCTTCCAGCAAGAGAAAAAGGGAAAGAAACAGGGTGGGGAAAATAAGAGTGTGTAACAGAAGTTGTCCATTACAAATCCAACTGGAACAAAATTTTTCTGTTGCAGATCACTTCAGAACAGATGTTTCTTTCATAACCATGCAATCAGGAGGAAAACACAGAGAAAGGAAGTGATCACATCCTCCCAAATGCTATGAGTTTTATAGCATTCAAAAAGACACATTTTTCATTTTGAAAGAATTGAAAATGTGTCAGGCTGCTCTAGCTATTAATCCACACATCCATCCTGAACTGGGATTGAAGTGATAAGCAGCTTGATATCAAGTCTACACTGGTTACTTGGCAATAGTTTAATGATTATCTTGGATATGACTAATGAAAAATACTATTAAGAATAATCATGTCGCACCACACCCTGAGCTGACTTCCACCCTGTCCTGTGAAGCCACTCTTGTGCAGCAGCCAAGGTCTTATCCAGGCCCTGCAGGCAGCAAGACCCAGGCAGGGCCCACTGAGAACCTCAGAAAGAGCAGGAGCCTCTCCTCTTCCACCAGAAGTTTGATTTTTCCTTTATTTTGTTCCTTTTTTGTGTGCTGCAGTGGGATGCAGCCTTCCAGCAACCCACCAGGCAATACTCTGTTGCTCAGCAACCTTGTACTTGCTGAGAAGGCTCTTTTGCAGCAGTAAACCTGGGCTGAAGAGGAAAATGAGGTGATGTGACACCTGAATCTCACTGCTTAGAATCACAGAATGTCAGGGATTGGAAGAGACTTCTAGAGATCACCTAGTCCAATTCCCCCTGCCAGAGCAGGATCACCTACAGTAGGTCACACAGGAACGCATTCAGGTGGGTTTTGAAAGTCTCCAGAGAAGGAGACTCCACAACCTCCTTGGGCAGCCTGTGCCAGGGCTCTGTCACTCTCTGCCCAAGTGGCAAGGTCAGTAGCAATGAGGACGCTGGTGGCAATGTCAGGTGAGGAACAGTAGCACTTCACCTCCTGCTCCTCTGCATTCTGAAGCTTTTAGTAGTGATCGCCCAAAGACTAATTCATTCACTAATTAATTAAAAAGGTCTTCTGTAAAGCCATATCCAGTGTCCCAATTAGATCCAGAGCACAGAGCTGGCACCACATTTTGCTGGTGGCAAGCAGGCCTGCAGCACCCATGAGATGGGGAGAGGGCAGCTGCAAGGCTCCACCAGCATGAAACCCACTCCTGGGGGCAGCTGGACTTGCTCAGGAGGAGGTGGGAAGGGACTGGAGTGGAAAGAGGCAGTTGGGAACAGCTGGATTGCATTAATAGATTGGATGGAGAGTGGGAGGTGGGTTAAGTAAAAGGTGTATTTCATCCCATGAACAGTAGGGGAAATCAGCTTGTCTTTTCGTTACTTCCCCCAGAGTCAGAAGCAGAGGAAGATGGGTTCTCTCCTGCTCCAATGAGCAGTTGGAGAACTCAGCCATACCCCACCAAACCCACAGCCATTGTGGTCTCCAGAGACTGGGTGGCTTGGGGACCTGGAAACTCAACTGACTGCAGGATTGCGGCCAGCAGTGGGGTTGTGTTCCCAGCTGGGTTTCCACGTACTTCATGGCATATTGGAGAAAGGAGACTTCAGGGCACAGAGGCTAAACAAACTCTTTTACATCTGTTGGGATAAACTAGTCCAAAAGCTTTCCTGCACTTGGTCTAACTTTGATAGGACACTACAGGCATTTTGGTCCATATTAGAAATTTTTAGAAATTGTAACTTCTAGAAAACTAATGAGGCTTTTCTGTTAGGACTATGGTGTCCATGTTCTCATGTGGTTAATGGTGTTGCATAGAAGTGCCTTGTGACAAGGTTTGTGGAGGTCCTATTGCGCCATTAAGGTCAACCCATTGGCAACTCCAGCAGAAGCCACTGTGATCACTGCCAAGAGAATCTCATCTGCTACTCTCACCTGGCACAAACAGAAGATCTACAAGACTACTGAGGACCTAGCTGTTTGACACTTGACCACAATGCTTACAAGGCACGTTACCAGAAGGAAAGGAAAACAAATACAACTTTGACGTTACCCACTGAACCACCTCACTAAAAGAGAGGTTACCTTCAGAAATGCAGCCCCCCCTCACAACATACAGCAAGCAACGGTTTCCCAGCTGCCATTTTAGGCTAGCTCAGAGGTACGTGTACTCATTTTTAAGCTTTGATTTCAGGGCAGTGAACATGACTGTTGCTACACACAGCTAAGCCTTAGCAAAAATTCTTGAGGTATTGAGGGGGCTCAGCCCCTGGGGGCAAGTGCAAATGCCAGTAGAACCTTGAGGTGGGTATGACAGACCAGCTCAGACTGTTTGAATAGAAACTTGTTTTTATAATATTTCAAGGTAATGCAGGTGTGATAGATTATAAGAAAACATATTTACACATGTGTTCCCAGGGAAAGATAAACATTGCTTTACACATGCCTAAACTATGCAAAAGTGCAAGAACAACACAGCCATCAAGACATCACTAATAGAACGGAAACCCTGCTACCCTTGTGGTGGTTTTTTGTGCCAGAGCATGGAGTTTGCTGTAGGAAATGCCCAGTTACCAACCCCAGAGGCTGATGATCTCCTATTTCCAAGGGTCGCCAAGAGGCAGTTGCCAGCTGAGGCACTGAGAGACTGAAGCCTGGGTGTCTGCTCTTAAAATTACAACGGCAAATTGAAGACCAAAGGCAGGCAATTAAATTATTAAAGAAACTGAAGGATATGTATTTCATATATTACATAATGAAGATAAAGACAGATTGCTGGCATTTAATTTTGGTACCATCCGCAGAATAGCTGGGCAGGGAGCAATGTGAACAGTGTTGCAGAACTACTGGCAGGAAAGGGTAGGGACGGGCTGATTTCTGTAGGGGTGCCAGGAGAAACGTATGAGCAATAGGAAATGTGAGGGACAAACTTCTGGATGTGGGAAGCAATTAATACTGCTCTGGTATGGCTCTTTCCACTAGCATGTTTCAAGGAGCTTTATGTTGGAACATAAGACCAAAACATGAACATGGTGCAATGCAGAGCTGTGTGCTGAATGCACTCACTGGCATACCAGCACCTCCCAGCCCCTCTCCTTTGCAGTGCTTGCAGGGTTCATCACACCCCTCCTTCCCTCTCAGTAGGGTTCGTTATCCTCGTCTGTCTGTGCTGTGCCACGTAGACAAACCCTCAATGTCACTGTCTCCCTTTTGCCCATAGGGACACACCGGGAGATGAAGCAACCTCCTGCAAGGGTACAGAGTCACCGAGAGACCCCAGATCTCCCAAGTGCCACAGCTAATGAGTGTTTGTGCTTCCAAGAGCTGCCTCGTGCTGGTGGGATCACCCTGCTCTGGCAGCCCCTCCAGAAAATGAGGGGTGATTGCAGAGCCCAATGTGCACCCCTGCAGCTCATATGTCCCTTACTTCCGTCATCCATGTGGTTAAATACTAGAAGGGATAAGAAAAAGTGGCTACAGTGCTCCTTTTCTTCCTTTACAAAAATGTGCTAGGAAATGGCTTGCCCACATGGTGTGAGTGGCCCAGCTGGGGAGATGAGAAGTCTCCAAAGCCTCAGCCTGCTCCTCACTGCTCCCCTGGTGAGATACATCCCAGGTGAGCCTTCCACATGGAATCAAAACAGGACAGCTGAGGACAGGAGAGAAGCAAAGCCCAGGGCAACCGCAGCAGTACGGTATGTGCTGCACTGTCTGGGGCCAGGGTACAACAAGGTCTGCTTTCCCAGCCTCCAGCAGCTGCCCACAGCAGCCTGCCAGGGCCCATGCCTGTACCCGAGGCGTTCTGGGCTGGGGAGAGGCATAGTCCTGCACCCACCATCCCAACCAGGACGACTAGCCAGCAGTTTCTGTAACTTCAAAATATTTGGTCTAATGAGAACAGCTTTTGGGTGTGATCACAGTAGTTTCTAAGTGCATTGGAAATCTCTGGCAAGCTCCTGGGTAAGCCTTGTCCTTTTCTCCAGCTTATTTACAGTGCCAGGACCCTCGGGAAAAGGTATTGTAAAGCACACAAGTCTTGCTGAAAAGCCCCTTTTTTCAAGAGTGGCTTAGAGGCCAAGTTGTTACGTCAGCTGGCTGTTTTGGAAAACTTCAGGCTATCCTGCTTTCCATGACATAAAACACTGCGGTGCAATTGGTTCTAAACAATGCTATTTTCAAGAAATAAGAGAGCGATGATTCCACCTGACAGTCTTTTCAGTGCTTCAGTGAGAAGGGGAAACCAAAAAAGCATCCGAGAAGTCAAGCAATCCGCCATCACAAATCTCCAGGGATAGCGCAACACCAAGGGTCTGTCTCGTGGTAAAATGTGCCTTTCTGCCACACTACTATTCCTTCCAAATCAGTTTTTACCAAGTGTCCTGCATATGCCCTTTGCTCAAGCGACAGGATATCCTTCATTTGTCTGCACAAAGTGCAGATGAGCACTTCTTCGTGTTGTTTTCCAAGTCGGTTGATGGGAGGGTCAGCAGGGGCCGAAGCAGCTGCACCAAGTAAAGGAAAGGTAACCATGGCAACCCAAGTTATCTGCATCCTCCATGTATTTCCTTCTCCCCACCCTACATCATATCTTTCCCACCCAAACCTCAAGCCAATAGAGCCAGTGACCAGCTGGCAGGATGGGGACTGCGGCAGGGTCTCCCGCACCCAACGTGTCTTGCCGTGTTGCGGGTCTCACCACCGCAGGCTGAGATCATCAAAAAGAGACCAAAAGCGTAGAGAGGGCTAACCTGAAAAAAGGCAGAGCTCTCCGCTACTGTAGATGGGGCACTGGATATGTTACCTTTGCTCTGGATTTGCAGATTTGTTGATGCTGCTCCTGGTTTTGGCTGTGAGCTGTAACCCTTCCACAGCAGCAACAGCTTCTCCGTCTGCACCCCACGTCAAAACCAGCTACAGTTTTGGCCGGACTTTCCTGGGACTTGATAAATGCAACGCCTGCATTGGGACATCCATTTGCAAGAAATTCTTTAAAGAAGAAATAAGGTCAGAAATTCAGCACAGTAATTTTTAAGGCATTTTGCATAGTAACTTTAAAGTTGCCTGTTAGTACTTTCAAGTACTTTAATGAATGACAATGCGAAGGGTAACTTAGTGCCCTGTTGCCATTACAGTGCCTAGTATTTTAATTAATGTCTATAAGCTGCTGCTTTCTCTCTTTTCTTTTAAAGCCACATAAACACAATCAGACTTCAGCCCTTCATTATAATTTGAAAGCAGGAGTAAAAGACAACTTTCTGCATAGAGAGTGGCTCCGAAACAGTTCAAGGCAGTGATGGGGGGAGGAAAGAAGGAAGAAATCAGCTTGTTTAGATGTACTGAAAATATTTTATTATGATCAACTGAGTAAAGGAAGGTTAGCTTCATACACTCCCCACGGACTGTGTTAACTACAAACATATAAACATGCTGTGTAATTTTGTACCAAGTGCAGCAACACAAATGTGCAAAATTTCACGTATGTATTAACTAAGATCAAAAGCGATCTAAACCCACCTGGGGCACAAGGACTTTGCCACATCAGGTTACTTACGCGCTCAAAAATAGAAGTGACTAAATTATTAGTGTGCTTCTGAGAGGTTTCTGCGAGAACTTGAAGGCAGAGGTAGGAACTGCATCTGCCTCAAAGTAGGTGAGACATATGCTGTCCAAGCAGTTGTCAGACTGATCCAATCAATTTTAGTCTCAAAAGCAGAGCTTGTCTGACGACAGCAGGGAAAATGTTGCCAGTGTATTTAAGGAGAAAGTTAAAGGCAGTCTTTGGTAGAGGAATGGTTTATTAGGTCTCGTATGATTTATAGAGCCATATGCACTTTCTTTTATAGATATAAAAGCCTGGGGGAGAAGAAATGGTTATAGTAAAATTGTATTTTTAATGTTATAATGTAACTAGTATAATATTGAACAAATCACCATTTCTATCTTAAACTATCCTATAAAATGTGCCATAGTAAAACCATAATGGTTTGTTTGGGATGGTCCTGTAATACCGAACATCCATCCTTCCCCTACTGCCACTGCAAAAAGGCAGCTTATGGCTTTGCTACACCAGGGCACCCCTTGCTGTGGGACACTGAGGGTCCCATCCCTCAGTGCTTTGCCCTCTTGGCTATCTGTCTGTCCATCTCATGCTGAGGGCAATGCCAGTGTGTGCAGTAGTTAAGGTCACGGGTTCGATCTGCGTTTGGTCCCCATGTGTTGCCTGATCTAGTTGAGAGGCGTCCCTGTCCATGATGGGGAGGTTGGATTAGATGATCTCTAAGGTCCCTTCCAACCCAGGCCATTCTATGATGATGATGATTCTAATTAAGGTGCAGAGGCACTAAGAGGGGCCAGGCCAGCAGTGCTGGGTTTCTCCCAGCCCAGCCCGGGTTACTGTCCCAAAAAGCAGGATGGATTTGCAATTAGAGTGTTCAGCTGGCTGACATGAGCTGCTGTGTGCCTACAGGGGCACATTCAGGGTATAAGCTGCCCTATATTTTGTTTTCTGCAGCAGGGCAGCACAGGAGCTGGCTCCTGCCCTGTGCCCCAACATGCTCCCCCTTTGCCACCCGCATGCAAAGGGTTTTTAGGGACCTGTCACAGAGTCCAGAGCAGCTTCCTCGTGTGCAGCTTGTTGCAGGTGCATCACTTCAGTTACTCCCACTTAGCTGCTGGGGAGGTTGGGGCCATGCAGCTTCCTTCAGCCTTGCTAAAAATAGCAGTAGCCTTCTGCAGCGAGCAACTGCCTCTGGCTGGCCCGTGGCCACCTCTGTGCTGCACTGGGCTGTGGGAAAGAGCTACTACGTGAGCCAAAGCAGGAGGCCCCCGTGCTGCCTTTCCTCTGGGGGACAGCAGGAAAGGGGTGCAGGTGTGCAGAGGGTCTGAGCAGGGTGTGGGAGTGCAGAGCCACAGACGTGTGGGAGGGGGATGCTTCTGCCGCAGGGAAGGGCTTCCTAAACCAGAGGCTTTTTTTTTTTTTTCCTTTCTGCAAGACCACAGTCAGCTTCCCACAAGCAGTGCAGCACACAAACAAGTGATAACATACAGTTCTGCTCTGAGTGCTTCGTTATGGGTAACTTTAAAAAAATGTTCTGCTGAGCAGCCAGGCAGCTTCAGGTTTATTCTTTTCAAGGGTTAAACTTGTTCTGCCACTTGATTTCTTGAGCAGCCACGATTCTTTGGCAAGTGGAAGGTTAAACAGGGGAAATTTCAGTGGCGCTTACTCTCTTTGATCCACCCGTGTACCTTTTCACATGTTCACAAAGGTACTTAGCCCTGCTCTGTGTTAATCCTCATTAGAATATGCTTCGTTAATTCTCCATCATTTCCGGGAGCTGTGACATGCATTCACACTCGAATAAAGAGTAAGAAGATGTGAGGTTTGTTCCCAGAACTGCTGGTGACTCATTTTGTGCTGCTCCAATGTTCTTTACTTCCCTTATCTTTGCCTAACTTTATCCAATATGAATACTTTTTAGCCAAATGCGAATACCAAAGCCTGCATACCAACTGTCCCGAGAGCAGAAGTTTTCATAAAACATTAGATTTTCAAAACACCATGAAACAGAGATGACCAGAACTATTTGCAGACTTGTGCCAATGTTGGTGAGGAGCTTTGGCCAGAAGTAATGGCAAGGAAGTCTGAAAACACTGGAATGCCTCAATTTTATGGGGGGTTATATAGCATTTTTTTTTTATTTTTGGTTTTAAGACTTAATTTTTTTAAAAAATTATAACTCCAAATGCAAGCAAAATTATTTTGGCTGAAACAAAATACTTCATTTCATCCAGGAAAAAAGAAAAACAGGTTTGATTTTCTTTCAATGTTTAGTTATGGGTTGACCTAAAATCTGTAATCTGTGACTCAGTTATTCACACAGATTTTACTGAAAGTCTTAATTAATGCAGATTCAGGCCCTTAGCTAAAAGACTTCATGTGAGAGTGAATTATTGTTGCAGCACAACTTGATGATGAGTCTTGAAAGTATCTAGCAAGTGTTCCAGGCTAGTGCTGCGTTGCCCGGAAATGATGCCAAATACAGAATTGCTGCAGCCCATGCCGGGTTCCCAGGCCTGCGTGGCTCTCCCCTGGGAGCTCTGCAGAGGAAATCGTTCCATCCATGCTCAAATTAATGTTCGGCCCTGGATTTCACACACCCATGCGCGGCTTGCACACGGGAGGCAGCGCTTTCCTGGTATCTGCCTGACGTGAGCTCCCCTGAACACATATGCTTAAGCCAAATCACAAGGCACGTTTGTGCTCAACTTTTAAAAAAAAAAAAAAAAAGACGAGAGAAAGAAAGAGAAACCCAGCCCATAGCCATCTCTTCCCTGTACGTGCCTGGCACAAGGTGCTTGCTTTACACATTAGGCACTGGGAGGGGTCATAATGCACAACAAATCACAATGAGGCCCAGCAATCACTCTCTGCTCTTTAGTTCTAGTTCAAAACCAGACAAAAGATACCCAAACCAAACTAAACAGGGCGTTTATTTTCACATCAGATGCCCTAATTGTAGGGAAACTTCAATTTCATATTGGGCAAAATGCCCAAATGACCAAAATGCCTGAAGCCCCCAACCTGTTTGCACAAGAGGCCAGGCCCCCTCCCCTTCTGGTTCAGCCTGCATCTCTGCAGCAAATCTTTTGAAGGAGGCATGTGGCTAGAGCCAAAAGCCAAAGCAGGGCAAGCACGAGCATTTCATGGAGATGGGCTTTCTTTCCCAGGCAGCCATGCTTTCCTTGGGGCTAAGCTGCACAGGGTCCGTGGTGGGGAAGACGAGCAAGGTGCTGCCTTCAAGAGGGTTCATGGGGAGGAGGATGGTCAGTCTCCAGTTGTGGAGGGTGGCTAGCATCACGGAGTCAGTTATTTGACTGAAATCCAAGAAAATTAATCCCCTCAAAATTTCTCTGTGCCAGTTTCCCAACTGGAAGTCAAAAGCAACAGATCAGCTTCAGCTTTCAGATTCGTTAACATCTTTTCATCTAACTTCAGCTAGCTGGTCCTGCAGAGTACCTCTTGCCTCTCCTGTTTCACTTCTGAGCTATCAGCTTTAATTTATGGTGAGATTAAATTAGGATGTGCTTTCTTACGCACTCAGGCAAGGGTATCATTAGGAGGTTTTAGAGTCAGCGAATGCATGATGTTGGCCAAACCAAAGGTCAGAGTTCAGCCTCTTTCCCAAAGCAGGTTACAGGCACACTTACAAAACAGACATTGATGCGTGTGTGGGCAGGGATGAGGGGGCTGCTGAAACAAACAAAAAAAAATCATCACAGCCTAATTACCCAGCCCATATGCTCCCCTCCTGTGCCTGTGTAAGGGGACCAAATCAGTGCAAGATCTCCATGGCTACAGTGACACCACACACCCATGGCCCCCCATTGCACCCCTAACTCTGCCTTGCTCATCCTGGCTGCTAAAATACAGCCAGTGGTGTAAGAGAGGACCCCAGCACTGAGTAAGGCCACCACCACAAAACAAAAGGTCGTTTTGATAGTCCCAAACACATTTGTTATCAGGAAGCTTTGTTCTGCAGGGTCCCTTAAAGTGTCAAGTACTCTTTTTTTGGGGCCCATTTCTCTAGGATTAAGGAAAGTTTAAAACTCCAGAGATTCCCCATGAACTGAAACCCTGCAGCCCTCTCCCTTCCCTCCCTCCCTCTCTGTGACCCAAAAGACATTTCATCTCCTGTCCCAGAGGGTTGACAAGGGATTATTTAAGCGATGCCGCGCGGGTGTCCGTGTGGCTTGTTAACCCGCTCTCTGTGGGGCTCTCGTTTTGGTTTGGCAGGTTTGACACCTGGCTTTCTTCTCATTTAAAGCTGCCCCCCAGCTACCTGCTCAGCTACTCGGGCAACTACACTGATGATGCCAAGAGCTGGCGGATGGTCGACATCACCCGGCTGACCTCCAAGTACCGCCACGACCGGGCAGACAAGCGCATCTGCACCTCCCTGCTGAAGACAAAGACCTGCAGCCTAGAGCGTGCCCTGCGCCGCACGCACCGCTTCCAAAAGTGGCTACGGGCCAAGCGCCTCACTCCTGATTTGGTCCAGGTCCGTTCCCACCATGTCCCACACCAGCTTGGAGCTGGGAGGCGGGGAGGGAGAGGGAGCCCGAGGGGGTGAAATGTATTTTGAGGAGGTAGAGAAAGGGTCTTAAGGAGGTATGGTCACAACTTGCTGGGTGGTGGGTGAGTTTGAGTCATGACCGGTTCTATCCCTTCTGCCTCAGCTGTTGGAGAGGGGGCAACCTCGTATCCCCCCAGCCAAGCCCATCTGCCACAGGGGAGAAACAAAATGGGGTCTCATTGGAAAGAAAAGTGTCATGGCCTGGGGCCAACCTCCCCGGCCATAGGTAACGCTGTGGCACAGCTTGGCCAGCCATAGCACCCACTGGCTTCAGACTTGGGGATAACATAGGGCCATGCACACAAACACGGCGGGCGCGCTAAAAGGGATATTTATGCTCGGTTTTAATTCATTTTTACATCATGACTCAGAGCTTTTTTTTTGCCTTTTTTTTTTTTTTTTTTGGTGGGAGGGTGTCACAAAGTCAAACTCCCAAAAGGCAGCTCATGCCCTGAGGGCCAGGGTGCAAGGCAGCTTTGGACCCCTCTGCTTGTGGCCGGCAGGGCCAGCAGCACAGGCAGTCAGAGCCAGAGCCTCAATTTCTTGTCCACCTGCTGTCTATAGTAAATGATCTCAGGCACAAATAAGCACACTGCCCTTTCTGTCACAGTCCTGGGGTGTCACAGGTGAAGCCAGGACAGTTGCACGGGGTGGCGGGGTGTTGCTACCACCAGGTAAACAGGAGGCCATGGCATGGGGAGACAGAAGGACAGGCAGGGATGGAGGGGTAAAGCAGACAGGCTCCAGATGAAAGTTGGTGTCTGACTGCTGCCTGTGCTGAGGGATGCCACAGGTAGCTGGGGATGGCCACAGAGCAGGCGAGTGCGTTCTGAAGGTGCTGGCTTGCATCTGAGAGCAAAAGCCCGCTCCACAAATGCACACGTGTACATCCTCCACCCCATCCAAAAAACAGCAAAGCATTGTGATAACCACTGGCAAAGGGCAGGGGCCAGGCTGGAGGCTGGATGTACTCTAAACAAGACCCTTAGAGGCAAAGAAGGATTATTCCAGCACTTCTTCCCATTTCAAGAGAGACGTGGCTGTGAAAAAAAGACGGGTTTTGTTTTTTTTCTGTAAAGGCAACTGCTTCCTCCTGCCTTCACACTGCAACATCCTCTCAGTTTTGTTGCATGCTAGTTACGCCGCTATTTTTTTTTTTTTTTTTTTTTTTTCTGGGGAGGAGA